TTGGAACAGTGCATTTTGAGTTTTTTTATTTAAAAAAAAAAATCATCATTAGGAGATTTGTTCAATAAAATTTGAATTATACTCTAACGGTTGATGACATGAAAATTATACTGACTGTCATTTGCATCGACTATTTAGGACAATCTGAGAAAAATATAATTTGCATATTAATTTGGAATGCGGTGTATGATAGGACCTATTATACTTACTGTACTAATACTTGTTTCATAGAAAACCCAGAGGTTCAGTGTCTTCCAGCTCATGCAGCAGTTTCTCTTTCTGTTCCTAATAAAAGGGGGGTTCTCAATGGGCGGAGCCATGGCTCTCCACCTGGTGTGTCGGTACCACCCTGACATAGCGGGAGTCTTTGCGCTGTCCAGTTTTCTCAACAAGGACTCTGTTGCTTTTCAGGTACGTTGGCGGCCATCGCTTTCCATCAAATCCAAAAAAATAGATTGTAACTGAATACATTGAAGGGCTCATGCTGGCGTTTTTGCATGTTGTAGTCATTTTACTGCAAAGCACATAGATGTGACATCATAATGTACTGGCAAAACACTTGGTTATTTAACAGCATAACTCAGGAATAGAAGGGGAGATTGTGACCATATTTCACAGTTGGTTGGACATTGAATTTAAATTTCATCTGAGTGCAAACAATGTATTTGCATTAGTCAACATGATGTGTGCTCAGTGGGTTAGTAAAGGCAAAAACACTGAAATGGTTCTTTAATGCTCCAGTAATAGTTTAATATTGTTTCATGTTAAACCCTCATAGAGAAAGACAGCTAACAAAGCTAATTAATAATTGATATAAATTAGCTAGCATTTTGCTAACATTAGCTAACTTAAGAAGTGACTATGTCGCTTTTATCTTTTAACCATCCTCCAATTGTGGTTGTCTTTTCCACATAGATTAGCCTAGCACATAGCATATCTAAGGAGAAAGTTCACAGAGGTTCTGACCGAGGATAGGTTCCAGATATTTGTCATGCACCTTTAAGACTGAGCAGGCATGGTGTTGATGAAATGAGCAGATCAAATGTCCTCTGCCTGTGTGTGCTGAAGGCGGTGGAGGAGCGGTTCAGAGCCAGACTCCCCCTCCCCGAGTTGTTCCAGTGTCATGGGACCAGTGATGACCTGGTGCTGCATCAGTGGGGGGATGACACATCTGTGATGCTGAAGAAGGCTGGCATGAACACTACCTTCCACTCCTTACCAGGCATGCACCACCAGCTCTCCCAGCCTGAGATGGAGATGCTGAGAAGCTGGATACTCAAAAGGCTTCCCCCCACCACCTCCTCCTGACTCACTCTACCCTAACGTTTTCTCACAGAATTTGTGATTGTGTCAATAAAAAGTTTTGTTTTTTATGTTTGCTGCGTAGTTTGTAGTTTTCATATAATGTTTGTACCTTTCCTACACCTGCTTTGCTTTCATCCTTTTATCCAACGCACTCGGGAGGTTGTGCTACTGTTTCATTAATAAACAACCAATACCTGCAGGCTGCATTGGCCGACCGTTCAGCTGGCTGGGGTTACATCCCTACGCAGCAAGACTTGCGGAGCCGGTCGATTCATTCTTGTCACATGACCTGTGGATTTTTTTCATCATGATGCACTGTAACGAATGCGTATAACGTATTTGCACACGCAAAAGATGCTACATCTGAACAGCCCCTTAAAGAGAGTAAAACAGTATGAACTGATTTATACAATATTTTTTTATTTTATGCTTAATTTTTTCTTGATAGAAACATCTGGCCGGCCAAATTGGAGATTATGGCAGGAGGAGTACAAGCATTTTAAGGATGTGGAAACATGAGACACACGTGTTGTTGGAGAGGATCTTTAAAACAGTCAACACGTAGTGGGGTTATACGTAGACATAATAGCAGTGAATATATTGAACATAATCTCCTCAGATTGCTGATCATGTCATTTAGCTGAATTTGATTAAACAGAACAGCACATTATAGAAAAAAGGGGTTGAGAAGCTAAACAGAGGGAGGTCCACTTGTCCAAGCCTGACCTACAGCAGTAGTTTTGGGCTTCTAGCTCAGTGTCTAAAATGAAGGTTCTAAAACCATGGCTACAGCCCTGATTACTGCTTATACACAAATATTAATAAAGAAATGGTTAGACTATATGCAAAAAATGTCTCTGTCTATGTAGCTTGAGAAACAACAGCAGATTCACCATCATGAATCAAACAATCTATAAATTATACTGATATTTAAAGCTGGGGAAGTGCAGGGTGTTTTGCATCATTAGGCAAAAATTCCATAACATTTCAGCATATTGTAATTCCAGTGGTCTGAGAGAAAGCTAGACTTCTGCACCTTCCTCTTGGCTCTGTTTTGTGGCTCTAGAAATTCAGAACTAAATTTTTTCACATCCATCCACAATCCTCTTCTGTAAAAACACAACTGTATATGCTGTTAAAAATAAAGTTTACACTGGCTGTATTTAAGCTGCACAGTCACCTATATTTTGTGTGTACACAGCCTTCAACCATTATTCTAACTAGAATGGAATATCTATCTATGATCCAAAACCCCACAACAACAAAAGTATGAAAGCATGTCTGAGAACTTGTCTTGGGATTATGGAGCTTCGTGACGATGGCCAAATGACAGTGCGCCTCAGCCAATCAGGGTCATGCTGATGGATGTGGAGTGGTCTGAAAGAGAAAGGTTTGCATAGACACAATATTTCATTCATCCAACAGTGTGTCCTCTGTGAAGTGACATGCCCTGTGCTGAAGGAGGCTAAATATAGAAGAGATATTTTATAGTGACGGAGGAATGTCGTGAATTATTATGTGGTTGAAACACTTGTGTTAAAGTAGTGAGATGGCTCCTCCAGGGGTTTTGAACAGAGCCTTCACACGTGGAAAAAATAGACTTGAAAAGTGAAAATATATTTGTGCATAAAGCGGGGTGAAGTGAGGGCAGTTGTGCATAATATATTTTTCTTTTCTATTTTTCTCAGGCAGTTTGGTGAATTATGGACTGTTTTGGAGTCACTACTTCATTAGTGAGTGTTTCTGTGCTGCAGCATACATTATTATGGTGATCTCAGACAAACCACACTGAGCTCTCGTGCACTTAGAGTGTTGTGAAGACTGTTCCAGCACTGACTGCTTCCTGCCTTAGTTAGTCATTCCCTAACTCTTCCTGACACCAGGAGCAACACACAAAGGCCAAATAATGTAACACCGGTGTATCTGATAGGCATGGGAGGATTTGGGATTTTGGAAAATTAAATGTCACAATATCTTGACCAAGATAATTGTAATTTACAGTTTTATTGTGATAATCATAAAAATGTGCTTAAAGCCCTTAAAATGCCACAAAAACATACTGGAATGACTTTACCTTATTGCATCCCCGATAGGACACCTCAGATGCACCTCCTGTGGCATAACCATGCATTCTTTGGGGTCACCCCTAATACTGAAAATGTACCAATCTCTCCCCAGCAATATAGAGTAGAAAATATGTTAAATATGCCTTCTTTTTTTTGAGCACTGTCTCTTGAAAAAAAAAAAGCTAAAAAATAGCTTGGAGCACTGGTGGACAGTTGGCCCAGGAAAGCAGGGGCCCAGCTGGGAATGTTCGCGGTGAAATGTGCACCAGAACCGGACGGAGCCAGGTGAGTGAACAATGGAACCAGGCTCAAATAAAAAGACTGCTAGCTGCATGGCTAATTGAGCTAACCTAGTAGGTAGGAGCAGTTAGTGGTTACTTCAGCAACAAGTAAAGCTATCTGTCCATCAAGAAACTCCACAAATCAGAGTGGAGGCAGTATTGATTTCTTTTTATTGGTATTATATTGCATACTACTGTGAAAAGCAGTGTACTGCATTTGTCTGTAGCATGTAGCAGGCAGTTCCAAATACAGCCATATATAACAAATGTGAAAATCTTTAAAAATAGGATGCCATGAGATCTGAACTGGACTTTAAGGCTCATCAAGAAACAATGAACATGGCTGAGGCAGTGCACAAGGACACAAACAATGTATCTTGCTGCAATGAAACAGTTATTACTACATCCATGGCTGTCCTCATTCCAACATATAAACCGAAGGTCCAAAAAGCTCTGGCAGCTCTGCAGCTGCTTTTATAGTGCCAATGAGGCCATTTGAATTCAACTGGGATTTGAGACTTATGCAACATCCTGTTCTCAACATCAGCAAGGAAGCATTAACCTACAGCATCTGTTTTATCCCTGCAGTGTGTCCCTGACTCTGAACTGATGAGTTCTGTCTGTGCTCAACAGGTTCTGAGAAATATGGTGTTTTCCAGTGCGGGGGAGAAATGTCTTTCTTCCTTCAAACGGTGGATGCAGTCATCCGAAAAAAGATAATCACCTGACAAATCATCTGCAAACACTTCTCTGCCCTTCTTCTACTCAATCATTCATTCTCTTCTTTCTTCTCACCTTTTTTTGTTCTCTCTGTTGACTGTCCTCTCCTGCAGGGAGGATGGATCAGTTGCACTCTGATTAGGCAACAGTGTTGAGATCATTTGGAGTGGATTGGTGTGGACGGATGGATGGGAGGGGGTGGGAGGTGGGGGCGCGGGGCTCAAACAGGGCCTTTGCATGAGGAGGTGGAGGCAAGGGGAAGAGAAGGGAGGCGCAGCCAAAGCAAACAGAAGGAGCTCAGAGTTTCGTTCTAGCCTCGGTCACTGATTACTTCCAGCTACGTGTGAAAGAATGCTACTGTTGAGCAGCCAGCAGCAACCCTCCCACCCGACACCCCCACTGATCAACTGGCAACCTCCCCTTCATCCCTCAGCCCTCGCTTCACTCCTCTCCCTTTCCCCGCTCCTGTCCCTCCCCCTCACTGGCTAAGCGGACCCTGGGCTGCATTTCATGATTTAATGACAGGAATGATCCCCTTCCTCGGTGAAATAAGGTAAGCAAAGCAAGCACAACATTTTGTAAAGAATTGTAGCTTTAATGAGGTTCCTGCTGATGAATGTCTCAGCACTTCTGAATACTGTGGTGTGTAAAGTGCAGACCAGCCACACAATGCTGCCTCACTCCACATCTTCCCTCAATTACCCCCTTCTTCAGCTTACTTCCACCCTCCCCCGGGCCTATAGTGCGTCCCCTGTTGGTCAGATGATGATGTGCTCCTTGGCCTATGTGTCAGTGGGAAGGAATGCTAATCTGGACGAGTTGCGGACTGCAAAGTCTAAGTTTTTTTGGCTGCCAGTTTCCACTGCACAGTACTTTCCATGTGGAGTGGCTCCAGAGTGGCCGGGCTACAGAAGGAATTCCCGGCCGAAGGAGCCGAGGTGTTGACAGATTCCAGATTGCTCATCTGACCACACCTCCTCAATAAAGATCTCGGGCTGATGGGATGATCACAGTATCAGGGCTTTATTCATCTGTATGGATGATAAGGGCTGACAGGTAAAGACTGTGCAAACTTTGAAGTCAGTAGTGGAGCTGAAGGCATGTCTTTAACTGGTGCAAGATCTTTGGTTATGGCAAAACGGGACACATGCCATGCCTTGAATGTTTCTTAGAGATCACATTGATGGGTATTTAAAGTTACAATGAAAAAATCAAATAGAGAAATCAAAATTGAGTCAAGGCAGAGTTTACTTCCTTCTACCATGATGCAGCCCAAATGATAGCTTGTCAGCCATTTGTTATCCTACTTCTTTTTTCACAGGAATGGAGCGGGTGGGGCTGGTTGGAGTTTTGTGGTGGCAAGTAATATCAGAGGCAGAAGAGTGCCATAGTGATCCACCATGACCCCATTTTTATGGGGTTTACTGAGATCAAAAATAGAAACATGTTAATTGAGGTATAAATATACAAAGACTGCATTGCAATCAACATGGAATTGGATCAGCCAGACAACATCTGGATGTTTTGAAGCTCACATTGTGATCAGATCACAGCCAGGTGTAAATGGCATCTGAACAGATTGACCACATTCACAAAGAAATCCAGTCCACTCCATATCGAGTCACAATGCAGATGATGAGAAAGCTTATTGGTATCAGGTAGAAATGCAAAGGCCCAGATAACACATGCAGCTCACATGTTGGTGGAAATGGGGTCACTTTATGTTCTGTCAACAACATATATTTCCACAGCTGATTAAGCCTTATTTGAACTAACATTATTAGTGCTGTCTTTCTAATATGAGCAGCATTTTATGGTCTTTTAACAAGCTACTCTTCAGCTACCTGACATCCTGTCTTTTGCCTTCCACAGACATTGGGGAATATTTACTAAGCCTGCCATAAATAATTAATAATAAATTACCACCACATTTTTGCATACACCAATTTTTCTATTTAGTGGTATAAGACTAAAGATGTAAATGAGCCCAGCCAAGTACCAAG